ACTCCTTGCCCAAGGAGGTTGTGAAGACCAGGATTTTAACAGGGTTCAAGAAAGAAGTAGCTAAATTCATGGAGGTTAGGTCCATCAATGGCTATTAGCCAGGATGGGCAGGAATGGTGTCCCTAGCTTCTGTCAGAGGCTGGGAATCGGTGACAGGAGAGGGGTTACTTGATGATTCCCTGTTCTGTTCACTCCCTCTGGGGCATTTGGCATTGTCCACTGTCGGAAGACAGGATACTGTGATAAATGGACCTTTGGTCTGACCCAGTATGGCCATTCTTATGTTCTTAATGCCTAGTAGTTATGTGTTCACACACACGTTATAGGAATGCAAGTTCCCACATGTTTAAAATCTAAAGATATACATAAAAGAATTATGTTAATACGATTAAGGTTGAAAAGTCAAGTACTCAAAAGTTAAGAAATGCCAGAATTAATACTGCCTGTGCAATCTTAATTCAGTTTCCTTGTACATAATGCATTATGATATAGTCTTTATTTACATGATCATATACTATTTTTCCACAGAATGCTGATTTATGCAACATACAACATGGACAGTGCTCACTTAAGAAACTATTCAATATTTTGTTTTATCCTCATTGTTTATTGTGCGGCTCCAGGTGTTATCTGCTGCACACTATTCAAACCCTGCTCTGAAGAAGAGCTATTCATTTCCTCAGCACTCACAATTATCATCCGTGGTATCTGAGAACTTCACAAACATTAATGAATGCATTTTCATAACACCCTTGAGAGATGGAGGAAGTGGTGTTATCCCTCTGGTCATGATGGGAACTGAGACACAGGGTTCAGAAATTTCCACTAATTTTGGGGTGGAATTTGAGAGACACAAAGAACCTAGTTTTGTGAAGGACTCAAATTCTTAACTTCTACATACACATACATATGTAAACACACACAGCACTCACACACATATACAGTGTACTGACCACCTTAATTCTGGCATTTCCTAATTTCTGAGCGCTTGCCTTTGAAATATTAGTATTCTTTTAACATGGTATGTGTAGCAGATATTATGGTAGAGCGAGAGAGACAGACAGAAAGAGGGAGACATGCTACGTGATGGATGAATTTAGAGATTCTGAACACGAAAATATAATAGAATCCACTAGTCTCAGTTGCCTCAGTATGAGCAGGCACTATACCAGGGGTGAGCAATAATTTTTTATGCGGGGCCACTCCAAGATTTTGAAAAGTGGTCAAGGGCAACACTCTTCCAAGATATTAATGGAGGAGGTGCAGGGTCTAGGATGGAAGTTGGGTGCAGAAGGGAACTTAGGATAAGGGATTAGAGTGCAGGAGGGGGAGTGAGGTCTGGGAGGGAGTTTGGGCGAAGGAGGCAGTTGTGACCTTGAGCAGGGAATTGGGGTGCAGGGACTAGGAGAGGTTATTGGTTCAGAAGGAGGACAGAGAGTTTGGCTTATGTGGGGTAGGGAGACAGGAGTGTGAGGCAGGGGGTTGGGAGGAGAGAGGGGCTGGGGTATCAGAGGCAGGCTCTGGCTGGGAGACTTATCTGGGTGACTTCCGGCCAGCAGGTTCCTCATGCAGCTTCCCTGCCCTGCACCCAGGCTGCAGGGGCCATGTACATTGGTGATTAAGAGCCTGAGGGGAAGTGGGAAAGGTGCTTCACACGCTGTCTGTTCTTCAAACAGGCAGCTCTCATTGGCCGATTTGCAGAAATGGGATTGTTCTGGGGACAGGAGCAACCCATGAAGCACCACTCCCCTTTCCCCTGAGCTCACAGCTAAGAAAGAGAAACGGCTGAAGCAGTTGATTTTCTGAGCAGGGTAAGAGAGGTGTAGGGCAAGCTTGGTAGAGCCAGTGGCTTGGTGGATTGGATCTGGCCCTTAGGTCATATTTTTCCCAGCCCACACTATACCAAGCTTCATCACTAGCCCATTCAAGAATCTCAATCCTGGTGGGCATCCACCCAATTAGTTCATTCTATGAGTGGATTACCACCCACGTGGAACTGTGGTGGTTTTTATTAGGGATTAGGATGAAATTTTAAAAATCCATTTTCATTGGCAACCCTGAAACTCAGGTAGACTAGCTATGGAGCAAAAGTAATTCATAACCCAATGCACAGAGGGTGCAACCAAGCATAGACAAGATGAGACAATGAACCCCCCTCTCGGCACTTGTGAAAACACTTTCATAAATATTCTTAACATGCCACGCACATCACCACTTACATCAGAGGGTTGCACAGAGGCACACAGAGAACATCCCTGAGGGTTCTGCCTCAATAGTTCTAGGCTGGGGAGAAGCAGAAGTGTGGAAAATGAGATCTTCCATGTGGCAAACACTTGGAACTGTGCCCAGCAACTTGAAACTTTACATTGAAAGCATTAAAGCTCAGCTCTTTATAATTTTGCACTTTAAAAGAGCAGGCAGAACTCCAAACAAGCAGCTTATTTCAACAGCAAGCTTCAAGCCAAGGACTGGAAACATGCCTTCAAAGTAATAACTAGGGAGGAATTCACTTTTACCAAGTGGACAATTCCCAGCTTCCCACCCACCCAGGTCACTGGATCTTTAGACCTCAGACCACCATAGCTATATTTAGATATTGTGCTCATACCACAAATACCAAAATCTATTACATCTCCCACCTAGCTTCAGTGGGCAGCAGGAGCTCCTGATAAACATGAAAGTGACAGTTATTTTAATGTGAACAGCAATATGGCCCAGAGTGGCCCCTTGGACAGCACAGAGAATCAGAACCACATTGACAGTACAAACATTAACTTTCTTTTGCTCAGCTATTAACTTCTTAAATTTAGCAAAAAGCTTAGCAATGTAATAAGTTAGGGGACTCAGCTTTTGATCTGCCAGGCTTAGAAGTGTTCTCATGGGCCAGTACCATGACTAGGGCACTTTTCCATGCCATTTTTCCAGACTTATGTTCAGAAGGAAAATTAAAATTGGGTCTCTGACTGGACCTGTTAGTTTCAGCCTTCACATCCTCCAAGAAGTCCTTAAGCAAGATACTTACTGTTAAGAAACTCAAAGATCTGGAAAAAAATCAAAGTGACTTCTTCCAGCCTTGGGGATCTGAATCTTATTCTGAGACAGCTGACCTCATTTTTGCTCATACCCACTTAACTTTTTAATGTCAACTATTCTTTGTGTGAACATGAATTTCTGTCATGGGTCAAGAAGTGGAAATTAGCTCTTCTGTTTTCTCCATTTTCAACCATTACATTTGCCTTCAAAACTAGGGCTGGCCTCCCAGTTAGATCAGAGTAAAATGCAATTATCCAGTATGTGTTATTTAAATGCTCATCTGAATCTGAACCCTTCTCATAGGCCCACAGATATGTCAGCAATAACAACAAAAACAGATTCACTTTGGGACTCATGAAAAACACATATGATGAACGATTCTACCTCAAATCACAACCCTACAATCTCCAAAGCTTCTTGTCTAATAAAAACTGTTATAGCTCTTTAATGCATTCCTCAGTGTTTAAAAATAGCATTGCTCATTTCCTGCACCACTGAACACCACCTTGACTTCAAGTCAAATTATTCACAACTTCTACTACTCCAGCCCTAGGGGATAGAACTCCTGTGTTTTGGGGCTAAGTACTTCTCTGAACAGCTGTGAGGAGTGCTCTGAAGTGGGACAGAGCAACGAGTTCTTGACAGTAACAGATGTCTACATTAAGCCACCATTTTAATGTTTTCTACCATTTAACACAAATTGATCTAGGATTTAACGAGCAAGGCAGATAGACGGTTTTGTTCTCAGAAATGTTTCTCTGAAGTAACTTATATCCACAGGGATAATTTGTGTCGGGAGTAACAATCCAACAGGAGTCCATTGAAGAGATTAATTTTATTACACATACAAGATGGAGTATGGAAGTTCTTGTTTATTCTCAAACACATGGAGGTTAGGTCCATCAGTGGCTATTAACCAGGATGGGTAGGAATGGTGCCCCTAGCCTCTGTCAGAGACTGGGAATGGGTAACTGGAGAGGGATTACTTGATGAATCCCTGTTCTCTTTGCTCCCTCTGGGGCATCTGGTATTGGCCACTGTCGACAGACAGGATACTGGGCTAGATGGACCTTTGATCTGACCCAGTATGGTCGTTCTTATGATTAATGTTTTACTGGGGCTATATCTGTAATATACGATGAGCACTTGCTTTGGAAGAAGTTCATCCAATACAGTGAGGTATGTGACATGTTAATTTTAGCTTTAGATTTGTATGCTCAAATTGTCTTTTTGATAGTTTGACATATTATGAGGATAGGGGAAATTTCTATGTTGTAAAAGCAATAAGGAAGTGACAGCCTCAGGCAACTTAGTCATAAAACTGACCTTTTACAGTGTGTCCGGACGTGTGTATTTTACTTACATAAGAAAGAGCAGGTATGAAAAAATACCCACAAAAAACCCTGCCTAAACTTGGAAACGAAAGCAGTTTTAAAATGTGGATGCAATAAGGTTACAAAGATTTTACTTTAAAATAATCCTACTTAGGAAATAGCTTCTTATTACTACAAGCATGTTAAACTTCTTAAGAAAACAACATGCTGTCTAACCTCCTACACCACCACTGATTTCATTTTATTATCTATTTTACACAATTTGGATTGCAGCCACAAAGTGGTTTAGCACTGCCTTTAGGAAACCTTTCCAAAATCATTATAATCCATAAACACCAACAATATATGTGTTTCTCTCATGCCAAGTAACAGATCTGATTTAATAGACTCCTAATTCAGTTAATAAAGAGTTGGATGGCAACATTTGCCAGTAAATTTTAACCCTTTTTCTATGTGTCATGTTACTTCCCTATCCCCACCATTAACTATACATAGTTAATAAATTACTTTGTGTTTAAAATTACTGTATTTTCTATGTATGAACACTAGTTATCAGATGTGCTAATAAACAGTGCTCACACATCCATAGAATGGGATTACATGCATATGTATGGAGGCCAGCAAGCATCTTACCAGCATAACAGCAGTCAATGCAAGCACAGATGCAGGTCAACAGATGCATGTCCTGCACAGAAGAAAAGACAGCATTAAAAGCTGACAAGCCCCAGTAACTGACTACACATCAGAACCAATGGAGAAGACCCTCCATATTAAGACAGATATAACTGCAGCTATAAGTCTAACAGGTAACAATGTACATTTTTGCTGCAACTTTAAGAGTCAAATCAAAGTGCCACTAAATGCCAGTGACAGAAGAAGAGCTTTGTGTAAACTCGAAAGCTTGTCTCTGTCACCAAAAGAATAGAGCACCTCACTCACCTGGGCCTCATTACTATTCCGGGACCAACACAACTACAACAACACTGCACAGTGTCTCTTTCTGTCAGTTAACACAAGAATTAAGGGTCATCAAATGAAATTAACAGGTAGTAGGTTTAAACCAAACAAAAGGAAGCATTTCTTTGCACAGCACACACTCAAGCTGTGGAACTCCTTGCCAGAGGAGGTTGCGAAGTCCAAGACTATAAGAGGATTTTAAAAAGAGCTAGGTAAATTCATGAAGGATAGGTCCATCAATGGCTATTAGCCGGGATGGGCAGGGAAGGTGTTTCTGGCCGCTGTTGGTCAGAAGCTGGGAATGGGTAACAGGGGATAGATCACTTGACCCTGTTCTGTTCATTCCCCCTGGGGCATCTGGCATTAGCCACTCTCAGAAGACAGGATACTGGGCCAAGAAAGGGGTTCTTCTGCAGAACCAGTTCAACAATTCTATGTGCACCAATACCTGACAGTCAGAAGTAGAGACAAAAGTCAAATATTCCTGCTTACAGACACACAGGCCTCTACAAAGTGAGCTGAAGGTACTTGAAGCACCTTTAGCTGTAACAGCACGAGGGCTCAATATACATGTGCCGGCTTGACATTCCATTCATTAGCCAGCAGTGATGACAGATACCTGTGCTAGAATGTTGCCACAGAACATTATAAGTTTTTAAGCAAAGTACTGTTTCTCACAAGCAGGGCCAGCATGTGTGACATGATGCCCCTAACTGGCCAGTCAAAGGTTAACACGTCACACACTGGCCACAAACCTAACACTAATTAGGGATCTATAACTGGGCTATATATTTCTGATGCTGTGCTAGACAGTGGCTGTGTCTTTTATGACTCCAATTCTGAATCTGACCACCTCTGGATGTACTGCTGTGTGCACGCAGAGCCCTGCATGAAGTTTAGCAGTATGCCTGTGCATTGTGCTGCAGATTCCCTCAGCAGGGCATGCTGCACGTTGCAAGAGCTGGGCCTCAGACAGTAGGTGCTCATTTGTGCAGTAAGCTCAGAAAACCAGGAGGGGAGGAAACGTCAACAATACTTAAAGGGCATTAGTGCATCTGTTCCTTTTAGAATAAATGTTGGTCACAGAAAGGTCATCATGCCCATCAATGACATTTTTGCCCATGCAATATGTTGCAATATACCCCTAAGGCTCTGACATCCAAGATGCTGCAGCGTGAGATATTCAATACAGGTACAGAAGAATCCTTGTGTCTTTGCTACTGCATGGAAACCATTTTTTAAAAATCCTCTCTTTCACTCTCATTTTAGAATCATCTTTCAATTCCAGTTTGAATTCCCCTCAGGGCTAGGCAGAAGCACTCCTTCCCCTGCAAATTGTGTTAAGAAATTTTCATCTAAAAATCTTTCACAGCAGTTTAAAATCAGCATTTCACCATAATGCTCACTGAACATGCCTGCAACTTAAGAGCAATGACCCAGATAACTTATTATTTTATGGCTTCTTAGTTTGTCTTTTAGCTATCATTACGCATTTCCATCCATGGTCCTCCATATTTCCAGCCTCCTCCATTTATAATGCCTGCTTTAATATCTGGAAATATTTTGTCCTCCAGTTTGAGAAGGCTTTTGAACATTTCCTTTGCTATGTATTCAATGGAGCAGAAGTCAACATGGTTACCTATAATTTATAGCACTTCCTCATGCGTGCACTCCACTATCCACAAATCCATCAGGAATATGCAGAGTTTTGAAAGAAGGATTTGTTTTCTGGTTGTTTATTGCACAGTGTCTGAGAGGAAGAGAGGGAAATCAGATCTGTTGTATTGCTTTTTTTAAAACCCCCGAACAGCAAAATGGAATAAAAAATAGTAGGAATTGGCCTGAGAGGCACATCATTTGGAACCAGACTTTAAAGGCTCAGAGGTTTTTGGACTGAGGTATCTATTTAGAATCTGTTAAATGCTTTTAAGATTACACTGGAGGAGATAAGACTGCAGGATATGTAACCCACACACCTGCTGGATGTGGTATGCTGCCCCCTCTGAGACCGCTTACAGAGAGAATAAATCTGTTCTATATCCCAGCTGAGTGTTCGTTGGCTTTTAGCTCATGCAGTAGAGGCTTATTCATTGAGCTCCAGAGGTCCCTGGTTTCATTCTGACTGTTGGTGTTACACCTATAGAATTGTAATGGATCCAGATAAGATTAAAGCCACATGACTATATAAGATGGCAAAATGTTCTAAGAGTACGTCTACACTATAAACGTTTTGTTGGAAAATTGGTTGTTTTTCTGACAAAACTTGAGGGACGTCCACGCTGCAATTGCGTTCTTCCGCAAGAAAAATCAAAAGAACAGAGGTTTTTTTCTGGCATTGGTAATCCTCATTCTACAAGGAAGAAGGATTTTTGCGAGCGAGTTCCTACACAAAAAGGTGTGTGGGGACGGGGAAGAGGGAGTTCTTTCGGAAGAAGAGGAAAGAAGAAAAAGCACAGGTGCCTTGGTAGCCATTCCGCCCATAGCAATCACTGCTTACATGTGAGAGAGCGTCCATTCAGTCTGGATGCTCTCTTTTGAAAAAGCAGATTGCTTTTTCGATGCACTTTTGCAATGTGGACGTTGCTCTTTCAGAATGTGGGTTTTTTTTGGAAGATCTCTTCTGAAAAAAGCTTCTTCCAAAAGATGCCTGCAGTCTAGACATAGCCTAAATGAAGGGACACAATAATACAGGCAGTCCCCGGGTTATGTACAAGATAGGGACTGTAGGTTTGTTCTTAAGTTGAATCTGTATGTAAGTCGGAACTGGCATCAGCCGCTGCTGAAACTGATCAGTTTCAACCGCGGCTGAATCTGGACGCCAGTTCTGACTTACATACAGATTCAACTTAAGAACAAACCTACAGTCCCTATCTTGTACATAACCCGGGGACTGCCTGTATTATTGTGTCCCTTCATTTAGGCTATGTCTAGACTGCAGGCATCTTTTGGAAGAAGCTTTTTTCAGAAGAGATCTTCCAAAAAAAACCCACATTCTGAAAGAGCAACGTCCACATTGCAAAAGTGCATCGAAAAAGCAATCTGCTTTTTCAAAAGAGAGCATCCAGACTGAATGGACGCTCTCTCACATGTAAGCAGTGATTGCTATGGGCGGAATGGCCACCAGGGCACCTGTGCTTTTTCCTCTTTCCTCGCCCGGCAGCGGCTGAATCGGGACGCCGGGGGCAGAGCAGCTGCGGTGCTGCCGGGTTGGTCCGGAGCGGCGCTGCGGGACCAACCCGGCAGCCCCCAGCTGCTCTACCCCAGGGGTAGGCAAGAAAAGCCTGGTCTGCTGGGGGGGGCACTAGCTGCACCCCACCCCAGCAGACCAGGGAGACGGGGGTGGCGGGACCGCCCAAGTCCTCCACGGCTTTGCTCCATTTCATTGGTCTGCTGACCTGGGAGACGCGGAGCAAAGCCGCAGAGCACGCGGGCAGCGGGACAGTCCAGGTGCACCGCGGCTGTCCCACTGCTGGCGTGCTCTGAGGCTTTGCTCCCCATCTCCCTGGTCTGCTGGTCTGGAGACGGGGAGCAAAGTCGCGGAGCACGCCTGCAGGGGGACAGCTCAAGTGCGCCCGGGATGTCCCGCTGCGGGCGTGCTCCAAGGCTTTGCTCCCCGTCTCCCTGCAGACCAGGAAGACGGGGAGCAGCTTTTCTCACCCCGGAGGACGGGGGCGGCGGACCACGGCGCATCTGGGCGTCCCGCCGCTCCCGTCCTCCGGGGCAAGAAAAGCCCCGTTCGTAACTGGGGGACTGCCTGTACTTCATTACAGCTGGTAACTGGCACCATCCAGTATGCTGAAGACTGCGAATCAATTTGCATTATCATCTGACTTTATAAGCTCATAACTTTTCATATTTGGTCTGCGTGGATTTTCTTTGGTGAGGAAGAAGAATTTGAATAACATCCTTTCAACTATTGTTGCATTGTGGCAAAGATGAGTTGAGAGAAATGGAATTTTTAGTTATGAATATGGGGAGAATTACAACCATCGTTCATTTGAACAGGACAGTAGCAAAACCGCTGGAATTTGGAAATTGGGTGCAATATAGGCCTCACTGAGGACCAGTACCATTGCTTGTTGGGGGGAGGGGCAGAATAGAGGAAAGAGCCTAATGAAGTCTCGCTCTCTTGTGACATCAATGGCCTCACCACCTGTTTGGTCAGAAGCAGGGGTCTGCTCTGGAGCTGCTATTAGAACAAATGTGAAACAAAGCTTAAGTGTTGCATTGGGATACATAGTAAAGTCCTCCAAAACACAAACAAATCTGAGCACCAAGAATAGGAAAAAAAAGTGACAGGCATCAAAACTCTGTTGATTACTTAATTTTAACAGATCATTGCTATACAAACTCAAAGCACTTTAAAAAATATCCTTTGTAAAGATGGAGTTTCCACAGTGCAAACAGGTGCTCTGTTATCCTAACCTTGCACAAACCAAATAGTAGCATTGATAGAAACTCATTCCTTCTTCATTCCAGGGCTCCTTAATAGTGGGAAATTCAAACACTAGAATTGATGAGTAATAGGGTGCGTCTACACAGCAGTGTTTAACTCAAAATAAGCTACGCAAATTAAGTTACGTCTACTGCATATCTTATTTTGAAATAGCTTATTTCAAAATTAGGAGCATCTTCACAGCACTTATTTCAAAATACAGCACTCTTCCTCTGACTTCCCTTACTCCTCATACAATTAGGGTTACAGGAGTCGAAGTCAGAAGTCCTCCA